TTGAAAATCAAAACAAAAATCACTTTTAACATTTTTTAACCCATAATGGCTAAGACAAATCGAAAGTTTACATATTTATATTCAGTTTATATAAGTGAGATTTGGGTTGCCCTTTTTTTTTAAATTTTTACTAATTTATTTAATTATACAGCAAATTAAACATGGATCGATTAAAAAAATTATAAGTGAACAGGAATTGAAGATGACCACAATATTTCCACTAATTCATAGAACATTTTCTTTAAAAGTAATTGATGATAAATGGTAAGATATATTGTTTAAGGATAAAGTGAACAAGTTAATGTATTTCTGAGAATCTACTTAATTTTAGAGGAGAAGTTCAGTCTTTAGCAACTAATGAAGCCCATAATGAGTCATATAACCCTTTTTGATGAGCTAAAGTTGGCCATAAAGCAGATATGAAAGGAATATTAATAAATACATTATGTAAATTAGAGGCCTTGTATGGTGAAGTATCTGGAGGTTTGAGTCCTTTTGGTCTATCAATAGCAAGTAGAAAGAAAAGTATCTTGATAAAGTCAAATTATCTATAATAATGCAAGATTCAATTAATATGGCTTTAAAGCAATGGAAGCATATTAGTGATAAAGACAGAAAATCTCTAGTTCTATATAGATTTACACAAAATGGTATGTCAATCTTATTCAATTTCATATACTTTATAAGAGCCATTACTAAAGTAAATTTTTTAGGACTTGAAATAATATTTATGCAATATCTTGGTTTGAAGAAATTTATTTTTTGGTAGAATTGACTCTTGCACAGTTCTGTCAGAGGAGGATAATAGTTATTTATTTGAAGATATTTACTGTGTTCTTAAAGAACTCGAAGTATGTATTATTAAATAATCTAAATTTTAAATTTTGAATTATATTAACTGTTAAACTTTAAAATTACAGTTAAAATTAAAGAAAACAGAAAAAATTGTAAGAAATCTCGATAGTGAAAATATAAGAAATAAAAGCAGATTAATGTCCAAAGAGAACATTCCTAATTAAATAAAAACAGAATGCCAAAAAATCAAAATAAATGAAGACTACTGTAGAAGGATAAAAAAACTTAAAAATAAACATTTAAATTAGTTTCTTGCAGAACTAGAAAATCTGTTTGTATATTATCAATTTTCGAATAAATAATAAAATAATTCTAATAGTAATAAATAACAACAGGCAAAAAAAATAAGGTTAATGAAAAAAACAATAAAAAACTCATGTAAAATTTTTGTGCTCGAATAAATAACATCATAATTAGTCCTTTTTTTTTTTTTTAACTTTAACTAAAAAAAAAAAAAAAAAATGCAAAACCAAGTCGTTTTCAAAAAGATTAATAGTAACCACTTGGGAAGAAGATTTGAAGAACTTTGTATAAATTGGGCGTTATCTAGGTTTGCCAGATATGGAGCTAAAGTTACTCATACGGGGTGAGTACTTCTCACAAATTTTGTAGAGTTGTTATGTATTCGAAGCTACGTTGCTAGGTCTATGTAAAATATCCAAGAATTGAAAGCTCATCGGGCAGGTTGTTTTGACAACCTAACGTTTTTCTTGGTTGTTCGATTTCTCCAATGTATGCCTTGGGGATTAACCTAGTGAATAAGAATATATTTATCAATTTTAGCTGTAAAGGAGATGAAGGACGAGATATGGGGGCTCGTCAGTAGAAAGGAGGAAAAAGTTTTTAGTAGCTTTTTTTAAAAATTTAAACTAAAATATCTTAATAACTACTAAATTAAATTTAATAAATTTTTTTTTATTTTAATTTTATATTTGAATAGAATTAAAATAAAAAAAAATTATTAAATTTAGTTTAGTAGTTGTTAAGATATTTTAATTTAAAGTTTGAAAAACTTTTACTTAGAAACTTTTTCTCCCCTTTTCTACTGACGAGCCCCCATATAACAATTGAGATACCATTGTTATTAAATGGTATATATTAATTTTTTGATTTAAATATAATTTAAATTAATTGATTATTTGAATAATTAGGAAGGGAGAATGTTTATGAGGTTATGGCGACTGTTATAATTGGGAACTTTAATTTGGGTGTTTTAGTTGGAGTAGACCCAACAACAGAAATAATTATCAAGAAAGCGCCTAGCTCATAATCTTAGGCGCTTTCTTTATTTTCATCTATCTTTGGCCGGATATTTTTTTGAATATATGTGACTTATTTTACCAAGAAGATGTTATTTGGCGCTTTATTTAAACTCTCTCTCTCATGCTATTCACGGTAAAATACTTGAATTTATTTTACGTTTTAAAAAAATTACTCGGAACGAAACTGTGATTTTCGCCTAAATGTATTTAATTTTATTACCACTTTCATAAGCATGTTTTAACTTATTATCATGTAATTTTATTTCATAGTAAATTGCATCGGTGGCCTATTTTATTACAACTTTTATAAGCATGTTTTAACTTTTTATCATGTAATTTCATTTCATAGTAAATTGCATCGGTGGCCTATTTTTAAATCATAGGCAACGGTTCAGAAAGTTAAATAGTATATTCAAATAAACTTGAAAATGAAATAAAAAATAAAACCGAAATAATCTTATCTCTAAAGTTCGCTTGTAATTTCATAATATATAATAATATAAAGGCTCGGATATTAGCGACTTATATAATACTAGTGAGCTATATTTTTGTGTGAAATTTTAAGCGGGCGATTTGTTAGTCTGTAAGCGAGTACGGATAATTTATTATTTGAGTGTTGCCAAAAGAAAACCAGACTTTGGCTTTTTACAAGTTTATTCATTGTTGGACTCATCGCTATAAAATTAGGGATGTTAATCGGTCCTGCAGTAATTATCAGCCGACTTTGAGCAAGGTTTATGCAAAATTGGCATTTTTAACTAATTTTCGTCCAATAAATAAAGTTATAGAAAAGTTATTTCCCTATAACAGTCTCTAATAGAAGTTTATCTGTTTTTGCATT